AAGAAAGAGCAGTACTACTATTAATATCACCGGTAGTAATAGACGTGACATTATTGCTTAATAATCTTCTTTTAAACAACATTGTCTAGGGAATCTAACGGATGAGGAACAACAAACGTGTGATAACTACAAATGAACTCAATTAATACCTCTTCACTATCTTCAATTGGTTTTCGCCCAGATTTTCCTATTGGAATCAATGTTAAATCCCTAATAACAAACTATGGTGTATACATGTTGAGTATAAGTACAGGTGTAGTATGAAACTAGTTTCATATGAGTTTTAAAAAAATGAAGCATGATGAAATTCTCAAGGTTGTCAACATTCAAAATAGATGATTGCGGTAGATCGTGCGTCTATAGCTCAATGCTTTGACAAAGACAAAGGAAATAATACAGGTAGACTTTAAAAGAAGTAAAATGATAAAAAGGTTCCTAATAATCATATACAGATTGTCCCAGTTATTTTCTTCGTATGCTAGGTACGTTTTCAGTGATATTATACATCAAATTGTAGCGCATTTTCACCTCTTTCGTTTGATATATAAATATCATTTATCCTCTTTTGGTTGGCGGGTACACGACGGTTAGGAGCAACGATGCTCAAAAAATATTTTGCCAACTATCAGTTTTAATTTAAAATATGAGTGAATCTCTGTCATTGGATTGCATTGGTTATTCTCTTTTTTAACTGTTTCTGAAGTTTACTCGTCAGAATACGCAGTTTCGAAGCATATTAAAGTAAATTAAAACCTTTTCAGTTTTGGATTACTAAATCGGGAAAATCTGCTCTGTCTACTTAGCAAAATATGTTTTGGGTATCTTAGCTTCTGATCGCTGTGTATCCGCCAACCGAAAGAGGATAAGTGATATTTATATATCAAATAAAAAAGCTTAAAATACACTACAACTTGATATATAATATCACTAGAAACGTAGGATACGAAGAAATCAGACAACCAAAAGTGATCAGAAATAAGTAGGACAACCTGTACGATACTTTCTGAGTAGGATAGTAAAAGAAAAAGGAAACATTATTTTTACTACAATAACGAGGATATTAACAAATGAGTTGGAACATATTTTTTGAATTAAATAAAAAGATGAATGTGCTACTTAATCACAGTTAGGTAATTGTGGATACGAATTAAAGCAAATAAAATTTCTCGAAGACGTAGAGAAATACGATAGTTAAAGTTTCCATGCTATTTCAAAATGGCTGAAGCTTCAATTGAACCTATTTCAACATATAGGTGACCTCTTTGACTTGTATGCTAGGAGCAATACTGACTTTATTCAGCTTTGCTGGAACATCGTAGTATCCATTATACGGTGAACAACATTATACGTTGAAGCCAGGTTTTAAAGTTGTTTTCGCATTATATAACTGACTAATACTCTGTTAAAACATATGAAGGATATTTCATTATTTTGGAACGAATAACACATATAGATTTTTGTTGATGAAAAACAGTATGATATTTTATTCAGTATAATGACAGAAGTTAATTAGACGCATCCATGTTTATTTCTATATAATAAACATGAAATATATCTAACTAGTTTGTCAGTTTGTTAATAGATCGATATTTATATAGCTTTCTGAATTTCTGTTTGTCTCAAAACATGAGTTTTGTATGTTGTCACCTACATATCATCCATGTTCTGATCATAAATGGAAAAAAATTATACATAAAGAAGTAAAGCTGTTTAAAATATATAAAGCACTACCATGCATAAACAAGTGAAAAAATCTGAAGGTTAAATTAACACATTGTTCATCATGAATGAATGAATACCAAAAAAGTTGACGAACAAATCATTTTTAACCTTGTTTTTATAATTTGTGTAAGATTGACAAATAAATAAATAAATAAAGGAAGACGGAACATGTTCTCAGATATTATATATTTACAACAGTACATACACGCATACATACACACTTTTAAAAGAATCCTACTAAATATAAACATCTCTACCTAATATGTCCTCCCTTGGCAAGGTAATGAATACAAAAGCAGATGTACGATAGTTTCCTCTCAAGGATTTACTAGGTCAATTATTTGTCCTTTTATAGAAAAATATTTTTTCTCTTCTATTTCTACGATTATATGATGCAAAATCATGAGGACACAACATATGTCCAATTCGAACATTTGACTTTTGAAATCTATTAGAAATATTTCTTAGTCTCTAATAAGATGGATATTTTGTTGTAATAATAACAGAATAAAGTTAACCTAGTGTATCAACTAACTAACCACAAACAAAAAACGTTCTACTCATGTTTATTTAGAGTAGCATGTAAAAATATTATCGTATATAGATATGATATGATGTCATATATTGACAGTTTTCTCGATTGTCATATCATTTTTCTGTCATAGAGAATAGGCACGCTGAGATAACATATCGTAGTTTATGTATATTTTCAACAGAAGAAAGATCTCAAAACATAACAATATCTTTTACTGAAAATAGATCTGTCCACTTCCGGCTTTCTTTTTCTCTCTCTTTTTTCTTTCTTCTTTCTCGTTCTAGTAAAATAAACTGAAAAGAATGGCCAATATAGTTTGACGTGTATAAATCTCTTTTGGGAAATCTGTATCGTCTTGTAACAGAATCATCCGACGAATGTATATGATGTCATATAGACTAACTTTCGTAATAAGCAATTAAAAAGAAGTTACCATTGTTTCCATAATTCTTACACACACACACACATACATATATATATATATATATAAACACATATAGTCTCGTTGTGTTTTTTTTTAAATGAACTATCGTAGAGAAAGAAAGGTATTATGATCTTTAAGTGTTCAGGATTAATCTTGCAAACATTTCTCTCATTTATCATTGTCAGTGACGTGTATACGTGATGGATCGAATAATATATAGTCGATAGATGCATAATTCTTTTTTTTTAGTATACTTTGAGATAAATCTCATTAACATACCACAATTGATACCTTTCACAGAAAGTTCCATTTACTAAAGTTAAGAGTCAATAACATCAAGATTTATCCGATTTTTTATCTTTTCCCATTCGGAATAAGATTTTTTACCTTACATAAACGTTATTTGATGTTGCAAAACAAAACATTCTCGATTTATGTCATGTGAAGATTGTCGAATTCTAAAACACTAGGACAAACAATAAAAGTTCATAATGCAGATATGCATGACAAATGATACTACACAGTATGCAATAAATAAATAGATGTTTTACGAAGTAACACGTCACACTGTGAATAAATATCTCACTGTTAATTATGTCGAAGTAATAAACAACAAAAAAAAAAAAAACTCTTGATCATAGACTTTTATAGTTTATCTAAAAAAAAACAAAAAAAACGTTGTCTCATTCTATTATATGAATTCAACAGCGCGTTAAATATGTTAATGAAATTCACTTAGATAAATAATGTTTGTTTCACACACTTACAAATATACGGTGTATCAGATATGTACACATATATCTATTAAATTATAGAAAGGCAGTTTTTTTTTCCTTTTTTATCGGTTATCACTAACATATCCTATCGTAGTACTTTCAAAAAGAATCATTATAGTAAATATTCTCTATTTCTCTCTTTCTTCTTCTGTACAAGATGCGAATTATTATTATATTATTTATTAGTATGAGTTTCTATATAGGAGAGAATCATTTGTGTATGTGCTACTTTGATATATTTGCCTACATAGCCTAGTATTTATTGAGTAGTAACAGACGACGGTCATTATGCGGGACTCTTGGTATGGCACCACATGGGAGAAAGAGAGAAGGAAAAGTCATCGAAAGTGATGTGTGTATGAGAGAGAGAGAGAGAGAGAGGGGAGAGAGAGAAAGAGAGAAGAGGAAGAAGAAGAGAAAAAAAAATTCCAAGTTCCCTTTTCTTTTTTCTAGTTCTATTTCACAAAACAGCTAGAAATATCATTTAACGCATAGAATTGTTTCATACCCTTTGATCATAATTTCAGGTAAGTGTTCAATTAATGAATTATTGAACAAAAGAAAGAGGGAAATAAGATTATACTTATTTTTTTGTTCAATATAAAAACAATCATTATAATGGCATTTATTTTAGTTCAAGGAAAATAAGCGCTTACTCCAGCTTTTTTACTTGAAATGACAAAAGAGTTCTTAAGAATCCATTTAGAAGATTTAAACTGTTATTTTAATTAAATTTCATCAAATGTTATATGGCATTACTTTTTTTCCCAAAGACACTCTAATTTGTTCTAAAACAATACGATAAAAATAAACAATTAATAAGCAGCTTATAGAAAAAATGTCCAAAAAGAAATAAAAGAAAAAAAGGATGTGATATTCTTATCACAATACACACATACACGTTTCATAATAAAACTTCAATAGATTGTATGTAAATTTATTTTCAAGTTCAGTTTGGTTCCTCTTTCTCTTCTGGATCACTTTGATGAAGAATAAGTATTCTATTACACAATGGACTTGACATATTAAACATCAGCGTATGCACTATAATAACTAAAGAAAATGTCAAAAAACTCCGTCATTTACTCTTCGAGGCTATTTTATTGATTTAATTATTCTAATCCATTTATATTATTGACCACATGTAATATTATCATAGTCATTTTCAGCTCTTCAGTAATTATTTCTAATAAACAATATTAAAAATAATTGTATATGCTGCAAGGCTGATATATTCGTCTTTTTTAGAGGTTTATAGTCTCATTGTTATACTATCATTTATTCATATATAAAACATATATATATAAGGAAAAGATTCAAAATATTATTTGACGGAAGTAAAAGGTTTGATATGTTTATTTTCTTGATAAATATATTTTTATTCAGATAAAAATCTGTGTATTCATCATTCTTACAATGTTGTTTGATAGTGTTAAATTGAGCAAAAACAATTATCGAAATATTCTATTTTTATTGATATATAAATCAACTAAAACAGTATCTAAAATTGATTGTACATGACATCGACGACAGTGAACATACCATGCTTAAAAAGGCCATACATGTCAAATCAATCGTAAATAATCTAACCCGAATACGAACATTATTTATTTATACAACAACAACGATTATTATTATTTTATTATTATTAACCGTGCAAACAACAACGGTATTATCCGATCATATAATGGATTTTTCTGGAGCATCTTATACTCATGTTGCTTATGAATCATGGCGACCTTGTCTTAATGGTTATGTACGATTTGATATACAAACAAAATCAATTGTAGGAACATTAGCTTACATTGATGATAAAGGAAAATATGATTTTTTCTATTTAAAATTAGTTGAAGGTAAATTACGTTTATTATTTAATTTGGGAAGTGAAAGACAAGCATTAAATGTTGAATATATAATTAATGATAATTATTGGCATACAATTGAAATACAACGAAATGGACGTATAACAACATTAATTGTAGATAATGGTAAAGTACAAAATTCAACAATAACAGAAAAAGAAGATTTATATTTTGGTGGTTCAACAGCAAATGAATATCAATCATCATTATTCTATTTTGGAGGTAAAAATATGATTATTATCATATTTAATAATACGAAAAATTGATTATTTTTTATTCTTTAGGTATACCAACAATGTTAGAACGACATAACTACGGGAATTTATCATCATATGATGTTTATTTACAGCCAAGATTTAAAGGAAAAATGAGAAATATTGTATATAAAAATTGTACAAAAAAATTAGTTAAACCTGTTCAACAACAAATGGAAGGTGTATCATTAATTGATGATAATAATTGTAATCATTCAAAATGTAAACATGGTGTATGTATGATAAAAGATGATAGTTATTGGTGTTTATGTGATGAAACATCGGAAGGTATGACGTGTGAAGATGAAAAAAAGTCAAGTGCTTTAACATTTAAAGGTAAACAATATTTATCGTATCAAATAATGAATTCAATTGAATCATACGATAATGAAACATTAAGTTTTAAATTTAAAACAAATAAACAATATGGTCTAATATTTTATGCTAGTAATGATGGTGATGAAAATCAACGTTTTTTAATATGTTTTGAACGTGGTAATCTTTTAATTGAATATCGTTTAAATTCTAATGTATCATTGGAATGGCGTCCAATATTAACATCAACAGGATTAACAAATAGTTTAATAACATCGTTGACAAATGGAGGAAATGGTAATGGATTAATGAGTACATTATTATATAATTGGAATAATGGTGGTATTAATGGTGGTAGTATTGCATTATCTGATGATAAATGGCATCTATTACGCATAACTCGTCGACATACAATATTAGATTTGACATTGGATGATGAATACCACGTTGTTACCACACATGATCAACCATTACAAGGTCAATTAAAAATAAAACAAATTTATCTTGGTGGTACAACAGATGATATACATCGTTCAACATGTAATTATAAATTTCAAGGTTGTCTCAAAGATGTTGTCTATTCTATTGGAAATGAACGATTAGAATTAACTCAAACATATTTGGATAATGACTCATCGATGAAAATAAAAACACATGGTAATATTATAAAAGCAGCATGTGAAACAATTATGGAATCAATTACATTTTTAACATCAAATTCATATTTAACAATTGACTTAATTAATGATACTAAATGGAATCAAAATTATGATGAACAAATTGAATTATCATTTCGAACAACAGAAAATTATGGTATTTTATTTTATGCAATTGGAACTTCTAAAAATGTTGATCAAAGTTTTTTTGGTCTTGATTTATTTGATGGATTTTTATATTTAACAATTAATATTGAAGGTAGACGTAATACTTCAAAAAGAAAAGAAATAACAAATCGACGATATAATGATGGTAATCAACATCATATTCGAATACATATCAGACGACATACGGGTGGACTGGATATATCAGTATTCATTGATCAAGAGAGCGAAGAACGATTTTCAACAGCTGGTAAACGCAACAAACTTCATGTAAGTCCTTGTATTCTTGGATAAGTATTTAAAAACCAGTTTCGACTAATTTTTGCATCAAGATAACCCTTAACCTATTTTAGATACGACTTCTCAATAGCCCATTTTTTGGGAGCATTAAGAAAATATGAAAACTTGATAATGCAAGTTTCAACAGACCTCTACTTACAATTTTGTAGTAATAATAATAGTTCAACGAAAAATACCCAACGTATGTTGACTTTTGGAAGAAGATTATTTTGGTCTCAGATGAAGCTGTGGATATAAATTAATAGAGGAGGCCATGACTTCTAAGAATATCAACATTATACTCTGCCTTGGATTGGTTCAACAATAACAGGAAGGAGGAGGATTCAGAGCGAAGACGTCAGCTTTTTAAAAAATGATAACAATGAAAATTAAAAGTAAACACATGGTTAAAATGAACAAAAATTATTCTATAAGAAGCTATCTTCTAAACCGTGTATACATGTAATAAACAGGAAAAATTTATCTATTTTTGATGATTCGTGTCTCAATTCTGAATTGTGAACAGCCATTATCTCAACTAGTATGTATTTCTATTTGAAGTAAACATCAGGCTCTTATTTCCAACTGTTCATTCAAATAATTTTGTGAGCAAAGATTTGTTAGAGCTTGTATTATCAGGTTTTCATAATATCTTAATACTTCTAAAAAATGGGCTATTGAGAAGTCATATCTAAAATAAGTCACGGGGTAATCTTCTCTCGAATCTGAGGCTTATAGGATCTTGAAAATTACATTGAATAAATCTTCATTAGACACGTAGTAGCAGTATGTTCGCTATTATTTGTTGATTTAATAGAGATAACACAACTAAGTATAAAGTTACTTTCTCATTTTTATTCAATGTCATTATAAGTTTAACAGAAATTAACAAACATCAGTATGTACAGTAATAAAAAAAAAAGAAGTTCTATCAACAGAAATATGAACTGATGTTAATCTCATGCCAATTTGACTATTTTGGGGGACATCTCTTTTCTTCTATTGGTTTTGATATTGTTCTAGTACCTCACATTATCATCATGCCTATTACATCAACAGAATAATAGTCTTTTAAATTATTTTATTTTCTACTTTGATATCGGACTTTGAACATCCTATTACTTTCTTTTTTTACTATATTTATACCTTCGTTTAGAAAATTCAGACCATCTTTACACGAGGAAAAGGCAGTCTTTGAACTCTGACAGACTTAACTAAGAACTTTATCAAACTTCACGTAAGTTCGATTTTTTTCCCCCTTTCATTCATACATACATACAGTGTTAGTGTACGAAAGAGAGAGATCGACAAAGACTGAAGATGTGAATCGTGTTGAGTAACTAAACATATCAGCGTGAAGAAAAAAAATAAAGTTCATACAGAGTTGCGGAAAAGTGCTTTTCCGTCAAAAGTTTAGGAAATTTTTGCAAACAAAATTTCCATGGGAAAATAATATTAGTTTCAAAATTTTTCCTAAACTTATGACAATACGTTTCATTAAAAACAGAACATTTGGGTTAGTATGAACGAAATAGCACTTTTTCTCGACTCTAAATCAACTTTATTTTTCTGATAGTAATATGGTCTTTTCCATATTTTTCCCATTAATTATATACACAAAAAAAGTCCATTCCATATTTAAAATCTTTTCACATTTTTCTTCATTTTCTAATATATTTTCATTTTCTTTTTAGCTAAATTTATTAATAATTGGAGGTATTGATCCATCTATTCAATTAATGCCCAATGATTTTTGGTCCGGTGTAATTAATCGAGGTTTCATCGGATGTATATCCGATTTTGAACTAACTGGTATAGCTATTAATCTAACACATTATATTTTATTAAAAAAATCATCTGCTAGTGTTAATCGTGGTTGTATTGAAAATTTGGGTTATAATTATTGTCAACAATCTTTATGTTTAAATGGTGGTGAATGTCAAATGAGTTGGAATCGTTTCCAATGTGATTGTTCTAAAACAAGTTATACAGGATATTATTGTGAACAAGCGGCATATCAATTAGAAATAGAAAAGAGAACAAATTTTGACATTAATACAGAATTTAAATGGACAGATGAAATCAATGATATTACATTTCGATTAGAGGTAAAATTAATAAAAAAATATTTAAAATAAATTTTATTTGTCTTTATTTTAAACAATATTTTCTAGACAAATCATGATCAAGAAAAATTTTTTTCCATTCGTCCATGTTCAATAATATCATTTAATTGTACTGAAACAATTGATTTTTCTATAATTAATGGTTTATTAGAAATTCATTTAATGTTAAAATATTATAATTATATAAATATAACAAATAGTCAATTTATTCTTGATCAAAAATGGCATTTTATTCGTTTTCAACGTTTTGATACAAAATTATTATTCTATGTTGATGAAAATGTTAAACAAATTGAAATGAAAAAAATAATAAATGAAAATGATACAGACATATATTCAACAAAAAAAATATCATTAAAATTATTAGGTGAAAAATTAAAAATATCAAATTTATTAATTAATCGACATTCAATATTTTCTAATTCTATTTCAAAATTAAAACCTATAAGATATTTTAAACCAATAAATTCTGTATCACTTACCGATAATTATTCCTATTTTGCATTAAATTTAGCCAATATATTTGGTATGTATTTTGAATTAATTACAATTTCATTTGATTTTCGTACAATAGATAGAAATGGCATATTATTTTATGCTAATATACAAATAAATGATAATAATGATGATAATAATAATAATAATAATAATAATACAAAAAAAAATTATTTTAAAATACAAATAATTGATGGTAAAATTCAATTAAAATTATCATTAAATAATATTTTATTTGAAATAAATTCAAAATTAAATGATCAAATAGATGATGGAAAATGGCATCAATTATCATTTTATCGTATTGATATACAACATTTTCTTTTAATTCTTGATACAATTGAATATTCATTAAATATTGGTGAAGAAGAACAACAACATATACGTTTTAATGATAAATTATATTTTGGTAAACCACCAATAACATTTGAAGCTATTTTATCAAATGAATATGCTGTTAAAATATGTTTAGCATCATTAATGGTAAATCATATATCTATTAATCTTATAAATTATCGTCATTATGGACAAACAGTATTGGCTAATTGTAATTTTGATAAAACACCAATAAATTGTCCATCAAAAAAGTGTCGAAATAATGGTTTATGTACAAATCAAACAATATTATCACCATTGTATACATGTGATTGTAAACATACAAGTTTTAATGGACAATATTGTATGAATATGAAACGGGGATATCAATTTCAAGAAAATGGTCCCGGTATTCTATTTTCTATTGAACAATTACAACGTCAACAATTACACTATGATTTAAATTATTTTAATGATGAAAATCATGAAATTATATCATTTGGTAAAATGAGTCAATTTTATTGTTTTTTTAATGACATATCGAGTCGAAACAGATTTGACTCAAGTTATTTTTGCAGACGAGTTGAAAAAAAAATCTTTTTTTTCAAGTTACTTATAAGTATAAGGACATGACTCTTATTTATTGCTCCGAAGGCAAGATTGATGAAATTGATTACTTAGGCAGCTGTAACTTTATACTTAATTTCTCTGGCAGCTGTAATTTTATAAAAACATCTCTTCCATGGATGGAGAGAGCGCACAAATTTTAAACTTTTTCCATTTTTAACCATGTCAGACTTCCGATTTTTTTTACGATTTCTACCAATACAAACTAAGCTCGCATCTAGCAACATGTCTCTATACTGTACTCGAGCTACTTATGCTTATTTTATTCATAAAGGTATGATTATATTAAAATTTGTTA